ATTCCACTCTGTGCTTATTCAGATACATTTGAGCTGAAGTTAAAACAAAATATCTTTTGGACATCATTAAAATATTGTAAATGGAGTAAAGGCATGAATTTAAAGGTCTGGTATTGACTGCAGTGCATAAATTTATATACATTTTATCTCACTTCACAGACTGTTTTTGTTCAATGTAAAATGTTAAATCTTGTATATTTTGGTAGTATTTTATGGGAGTTTATACAGAGCTGCATAATTTCTGTGAGAATTACATGCACTTCAAATGTTTATATATATATAGTGAAATTACTGCAAGTGGTGTTCATAATAATAACTCTTTTCAGCCTGTTTTTTTACTCAGATACCAGAAGCTTTGGGTTATGTTCGTCAGGCTCTTCAGCTTCAAGGAGATGATGCCAACTCTTTGCATCTTCTTGCACTCTTGCTGTCAGCCCAGAAACACTATCATGATGCTTTGAATATAATTGACATGGCCTTGAGTGAATATCCGGAAAACTTTATGTGAGTACTTTCAGTGTATCTATTTCCTTATACCATATTTTCCAACTCCTGAATGTTCTTGTTGTATAGTAGTTGGTTTCCTGTCTCACTAATTCTGAGGGTGATTACTTCTGAAGACTGAAATATTTTTTAGTTTTTGTTCTTGAACACATTGTAATTGTTTTCTAATACAAAGTTATTTCTTAGTATTTTTTGCTTTTTTAAATTAAAGACTTACCCAGTGTCGTCCAGGTCTGTCAGGGCAGGAGGCGGGCAGTGGGAGTGGTGTGCAGGAGTCAGGGCAGGGGATGAGGAGGGACTCAGGATAGGTGACGGGGCTCAGGACAGGAGAAGGGGGAGCAGTGGATGGGGGTGACCATTGGCTTCTCCTTGGGAGCAGCCTAAGGCAGTGGGGACCGTGTACTCCGCCAGCCAGTTTGTTCCCAGGGTCTAGCAGAGGCACTCTCTCCCTCCCCTCCAGCCCTCCTGAGGCGGGAGGAATTGTGGGAGTTCTCTCCCTCCCCCCCCGACCCTTCCGACAGCAGGGTGTGGGGCTTTCTCACTCCCCCTTGGCCTCTGATGGCAGGTAAGACGGTGGATTCCCAGCCCTGATGGCCACTTTCTTAATGGTATGACTGCCCCCAGTGGGCACTCTGCAGTATAACTCTCCCCTGCAGGCTTGGTGCCCGTAGTGTGTATAGATAGCATCCTTCCAAACAGCCCCTCCCTTTCCATGCTACGGAAAATAGTCCCATTCCTGGCATTTCTGGTTTTCCTGGCACAACCAAACCCTGACCTTGCTTTAAGTTGGGAGAAGAGGAAGCTGCATACCAAATTTAGTGGTCCTTGCTCTTACAGTTTAGGAGGAGTTCTTGAAAAAACAGACTCACAGATGGACAGACAGGCACATTTCTAAAATATATAAATAGATTGGAAAAAGGTTTCAAACAGCTGTCGTTTTTTATTATTCCATGTACTGGTTTTTTTTTTAACAAAATTTTCCACTTTGCATGTTTTCTAATATTCTCCTGGGTTGTATATTTTTATGTAGCAGCCTAAAGAGCTCTGATACTTCAACAAAAAACAGCTCAGTTTCTTAATGTCCTCCTCCAAGATAAAAACACGAATGTGTTTATTGTATAAAAGTTGCTATGCTACTTTGTGTTTGAGTGGCCTGTCATCAAGAATCAGTAGGTGCATAATCAAACACTTGATGTGGAAGAAGTGCAGATTTGGTTGAAGGTTCTTTATCATATTAAAAACCATTCATTTTTTTGTTGTGCATGCTCACTCCATTTTATTTGGAACATTCCCAAGCACCACAATTTCTTTTGTTGGTGGATGTCATCCTTAAATGTAATTGGATTTCATAATTCTGTAGAGATACATTTAAATTCAGTATAAAATTAGTTCAGTAGAACCTACAATATGGTCAGAAGTCTCAGTGTGAAATCGTACCAGTCATGGAATCAGTTGCAAAACTCCCATTGATTCCAATGAGAGGGTAATCTTTTCTTCTGATAAAGGAAGTTTGAGTCAGCTACTCTGTTATGTTCCACAGCATTTAAATATCCTAAATTAAGTTGCTGACAATTTAACAATAATTCAAATATTTTAAAAGAGGAAATAATGTATTAATATATATTAGTATTTATTAGCAGCACATTCAATAGCTGTGAATAATAGAATTTTCATTTTAAAATATTTTATATTTTTAAACTAATATATAACTTTGTGTCAATTAAAAAATATTATCAATGTTTTGAACTAGTAGGAGAGAATAGAATTCATAAAAAAATTGTTTAACTGCTGTGTCCAACATTTCTAACATCCTTTTCCTGGCTAGATCACAGTCTGCACTTCATTTTCATGACTCTCCTCACTGCTTTTGACCCTCCTGTTTGAAATCTGACCCTGGAAGCTTTTTATTTTGCTTGCTTCTTCTGACACTGCTCCATACTTATCTCTTTGGGAGGTCACTTTCTTTGTATAATCTGCTTCTCTCCTGGTTTCAGCTTCCATCTTTATGCTGGCAGCTGTCAATATCTCAAATTCCTGATCTGTCTGCTTCTAGCCAATCTCACATCTCAGCCTTGTTTTCTGATGACATCTCTGGAATGTCTCTGTCAGCTTAAACTTAACATTGCCAAAGCTTAAACTCCTCTTCTTCCCTCCAACTCTTTCATTCTCATTAGCTGCTGACAGTTCTGCTATCCTCCCAGTCATTTCATTGCCCCATAATCCATACAAAGTCATCTTTGACTCATCCCTCTCTGCTCATGAATATCCAGTCTATTTCCAAATTTTGCCCTGCACTTTCAGTTTAGACAAAATCTCTCATCCAAACACCTATCATTTCTCATTAGGGTTACTGACCTCCCTAACTTATAGGTCAACTCCCAATCCATGATCACCTTCATTGCTCCAACCAGGTACCATATCAGCCTCACCTGAGGTGATGAGGTTGTTTGCATCTTCCTCTGAATTATCTGGTACTTGCAACTGTCACAAATAGGGCACTGAACTATAGTATGATACAGTATGGCAATTCCTTTATTCCTACAAGTATATTTCAGAGTATGTCTCTTTGTTTTCCAAACTGAAAAAAAGAAGATGATTAAGCAATAGTTTACTCTGAATCTTGAGCCTAAACATAACTCCATATCAATTCTAGTACGCTGTCTTGAAAGAATAAGGCAAAATCTTTTATTCTTAAAAATCAGTCTTGTCCTAAGTTAAGTCACTGGCCACATTATACAGTATAGATTCCTTGGTGAAAAACCTAGTTTGACAGATCAGTGGAGTCACTGGATGAATTATTATTGAACTAGAGTTCCTGAAGTATCTTTGACAGAGGAGAAGAAAGGAAATGAGTGCAGATATTAAAGTGGACCAGCCTTTGAAAAAAATGTGAAAGTACTCTCCCTATGCTGGTATGGCTATGCCCTGCTTTGCTCTCTTTCTTGGTGAATAATCTACTCTGCAGCATGGCCCTAATTAGGACTGGCCCCTGGAGAGTGTTTAAAGATTGTGGAGGTTCCTTATCCTCTCTCTTTTCCCTTGGGCAGTAACAATTTCGCCCATAATTTAAACCTGATATTAAATTCTCCATATTATTAGATTATTTTCTTCAGGAATTTATCAGCAAAGCCTCAATTATAATATCAGATCTTATACTGTACATTTGTTCACTTGCAAAACATCATGTAAAATATTTGACAATTTGTATTCAACAAAAGTGCTTTGAACATAGATGACTCCATTTTCCCTTTCTACAACTGTTTATAGATGACACAACTCCATTCCGTCTCCCCACGTGCCTGTCGCAAGAGATCCTTTTATATTCCCTCAAAACTTGCTAATTTTCAGTATGCTCATACATTACTTGATTAATTCTAATTTCTTTGGTATTTAATTGGTTTCTGTATACGTTTCGTAGAATCATAGAATCATAGAATACTAGGACTGGAAGGGACCTCGAGAGGTCATCGAGTCCAGTCCCCTGCCCTCATGGCAGGGCCTAATACCGTCTAGACCATCCCTGATAGACATTTATCTAACCTACTCTTAAATATCTCCACAGATGGAGATTCCACAACCTCCCTGGGCAATTTATTCCAGTGTTTGACTACCCTGACAGTTAGGAACTTTTTCCTAATGTCCAACCTAAACCTCCCTTGCTGCAGTTTAAGCTTCTTGTTCTATCCCCAGAGGCCAAGATGAACAAGTTTTCTCCCTCATCCTTATGACACCCTTTTAGATATCTGAAAACTGCTATCATGTCCCCCCTCAATCTTCTCTTTTCTAAACTAAACAAACCCAATTCCTTCAACCTTCCCTCATAAGTCATGTTCTCTAGACCTTTAATCATTCTCGTTGCTCTTCTCTGGACCCTCTCCAATTTCTCCACATCTTTCTTGAAATGCAGTACCCACAACTGAACACAATACTCCAATTGAGGCCTAACCAGCGCAGAGTAGAGCGGAAGAATGACTTCTCGTGTCTTGCTCACAACACACCTGTTAATGCATCCCAGAATCATGTTTGCTTTTTTTGCAACAGCATCACACTGCTGACTCATATTCAGCTTGTGGTCCACTATAATCCCTAGATCCCTATCTGCAGTACCCTTTCCCAAACAGTCGCTTCCCATTCTGTATGTATGAAACTGATTGTTACTTCCTAAGTGGAGCACTTTGCATTTGTCTTTATTAAACTTCATCCTGTTTACCTCAGACCATTTCTCCAATTTATCCAGGTCATTTTGAATTATGACCCTATCCTCCAGAGCAGTTGCAACCCCTCCCAGCTTGGTATCATCTGCAAACTTAATAAG